CTGGATCTTTGGCCACGTCAGTATTCACAGGAACGAGCTCGCTGACACCGCAGCTAAGTCCGTCTGCTCTGGTGCCATCACGGCCATACCTGTCCCATACATGGACTGTGGTCCTGTCTTCAAGGCGCGGCTTCGTGCCCGTTGGCAGTCGACTTGGAGTGAGCAATGCCATAATAAGCTTTTCCAGATCAAACCTTCTGTTGGTCTTTGGCCGTCTTGCTTCTGTAAGGATCGGAAGTAGTCCTGGCAAGGCTACGCATTGGTCATAGTTTTTTAACCCATCATTTTCTTTTATCAGGTATTGACCCACCGATGTGTAGCCATTGTGACACTCAAGTCACAATGGCCCACATTTTACTGTCGTGCCGTCATTACGACCGCGAGTGGCGGCACCATTTTAGACACATGTTTTCTAAGGGTTTACCCCTGACATTGGACAGTGTCATTGGTAATGGTGACACTGTCCGATTAGATTGTATTTTTAATTTTTTACACATTATACGTCTTTTTAATTCTATATAAATCTTTTACCGACATGTATTGATTTTAACTCGCTGTTTTTTTTTACATTTTACTTTAATCTACTTTCATTGCTTTTACCGGTTGTTTGGTGCAGATAGCCTAGCTGCTTTGCGCCATTAAACACCAACCAACCAATCTATTATTAATTTTACTAATGAAGGTGAAAATATTTATAACCTGACCAATGTCTTTGAGAATGGGGCGAATTTTTTATTTAAATTTTTCTTAAGTTGAAGAAATGATTGTTCTGGAAAAACCTGAGAAACGTTTTGAAATTAAACTCCTGATCATGATGACATTCTCCCCACGTAAAATTTTAGAATTTTAGAAGAGATTAGAAAGGAATTAATGGAGTTTTTAACTGTTATATTTCAGAAGCCTCTTGACAATAAGAAAATGCCCGATGACTATATCAAAAGAAATAAAGGGTCCATCAAACTAAAGTTCAATTTGTCTTACTTCTGTTTGAAAGATTTTAGAATCTGTTGTCTAAAGTTATTTAAAAAAGCATTGAATAGATAGTTGGCATTGGAAAAATAATTTTAGAAAATGGTTTTACTAGCATAAATAATTTGTTGGAGATTTTTTACAGGGCTTCTAGCTTTATAGATAAGAACCTCCTAATTGATATGGTGTGTTTTGACTATCAGAATCCCTTTCATAAGATGCCTCACAAAAGATTCAAGAGTAAAATGCTTACGGAGTTGGTGGAAATCAAGTGGATTGAAAGTTAATTTGGAGTACAAAGGACCTTTACTATTCATTATTCCTGTTAATTATTTGGATGGCTTTTGGGGCAGTAGTATTTCTAAGCTTGCTCATATTACTAAATTGCTGGAAAGGGACAAAACTGTTGTGAATGCTTCTTTTACCCCAAAAAACCTTCACAGTCTTATAATGAATAGACAGGATATGGGAATTGTGCACTAAAGACATGAAAAGTTAAAAATAATTTTTTGGAATAACTTGAGTATTATTGCTAATAAAACCATAAAGCCCTCTGCATGGCAAATAGGATTTTTGGTTCTATTTATAATAATTTTGAGTTTAAGAGCAAGAAAGACATCATTTGGAATACTTTGCGTAGTTTTTGTCCCTGTAATAAAAGAAGGCTACACATACCAATATGTTTATAAGCTATGAAGAGAGGCTTATTATATTGGATGTGTTTTCTCACTTTCTCTTGTACATTAGAATTAGTAGGGCATAATTCAAGAGTTCAAAACTGTTAGTGAAGTTAGTCTTCCTATGAGTTGTCTATTTGAAGTGTTAAAAAAACGGTTTTGAAAGGCAAATTTGAAAGTTTGAAGTAATAAATTGACACCTTAAATGCACATATGGTTATTTCTAATCTTACAAAATGGACTTAATGGTTATATTGTTTTTATTGTTAGTTTGAATTATTTTAAAATTTTGTTGAATAGGTAGTGAATGTAAATAGATATATTTAACTTTGTCTAAAAGAAGTCAAGTAAAAAAAAGTTGTATTCATTATTAAATATATATATATATTTTTATTTTTTTTCACTTGAGTACTGGTATCTAAAGGTCAATAGCATTCTGTTACATTGTCTTTTTCTTGTATCCTTTATTATATAAAGAATGGCTTTCTTGTATGCGACAGATTTCTGAAATATTTTACATGAAGATGGCATTTTCTGATAACTTTTAATTGGTTACAGTTACATCTTTAAAAAAACTGTTTAATGCATTTATAGAGGAAAGTGATATTTAAGTGTTTTTCTTTTCACAATAGTAAATGAGTGTCATCCATAGGCTTCTATCTTCCAAATATTCCTGAAGTTATCTTTGATGAAGTTGTAACATGTTTTATTTCTGTAGGTAAAATAATGTTATCACAGCATATTTTTTTGTACAGGCTTCAACTCTCTTTTAAAAATTTCAAACTTTACTGTTATACCTTTAACACTTTTTACATGTACTATATTTTAAGGTGAATGTATATGTTTTTATAGGAATATTAGAAACTGTGGGTTTGGTTTTTAGCTGGTGGCTGTTCATTCTCTAGCTGCTATACCTGAAATACTTCATACAACAGATTATAACATTTGAGAGAGTTGGCAACAAACTTCTGACATTAAATCTCTAAGACAAACTTAATATGTGAAAAAAATGATATCTGAATTTAAAATGTCAATATATGTAAGTCAGTAAATTTATTATTTATTTGAGCATTCCTTTAAAGCCAAAATACTGTATATTATGTTTATCTACATAAATAAATCTCATCAGTTTGAATTTTCCAAGCAATCTTCCCTGGAATAAAAAAAAATACATTTCATTGTAGAAATTATAAATAATGTTTTATGCTATGTTGTATTTTTCTATAAAAGTTCAGGACATCATATCTGTATAATAAGATACTGACTACTGCTTGTATCTATTAGGAAGGCAAATGGACAACTGTTACTAATATGATCAACAGGCGTAGCAGTTGTGGAGTGGCAGTTATGAATGGATTGTTATTCGTTGTAGGAGGTAATGATGGCAGTTTATGTATGTCTAGTGTGGAGGTTTATGACAGTCGTAGAGCAGCCTGGGATGCTGTTGCTTCCATGCATTCTCGTAGGTAAGATATGTAATTCAAACTACTTGACAACAACTTTCAAAGAAAAAGTTCTAAAGTGTTTTTAAAAAAAGCTGTTTTAGCTTGATTTTTACCACTTTTGAATCAGATATACACCTCCTATGTATTCACACTTTTTAGCCATCTGTTATAGTTTCTACTTCTGTTTAATTATATAGGATGTACATTATGAATAACATTTATTTCAGTTCTGAAATACATTTTAATTAAGCTTCATTAAGTCATTATGGAAGTATTTCAGTTAATTTATGTCAGTAGTTTGTTTTTGGTGTACCACTGCATGTATTTATGATTTTTTTTAAATTTTTTAATAACCTTATGATTACACACAACACTAACTCACTTGCTTGTGTAACATATGTTTACAATGGACGGTAATAAGTAGCTTCTCATAAACAGGAGTACCCATGAAGTAGTACATGCAGAGGGATACCTTTATGCAATTGGAGGAAATGATGGAAGCTCCAGCCTAAATACCGTGGAACGCTATGACCCTCGATACAATAAGTGGATGTTGGTTACTTCCATGATGCTTCGTAGGAGCAGTGTTGGAGCTACAGCCCTGGACTGCCCTAATCTGGAACAATTACTACTTCGGTCAGAATAAAAACTAATCACTTTATGATGGACTGTCTCTCACATTTAGTAAACCACTGAACAGCAAGCAAACAGAATGGGCTCAGACTGTTCCAGTTTAAAGCAAACCTAATGAATGAAAGATAAATTTTTGTGTGATGTTTTTCTACACTGGAACGGTTTGATAATGGAATCTCACTAAGTGAAATAGCTATTTTCAATTAGACTGTAAATTGCTGCCGAGATTTTACATTTTCTGAAGAAATTAATTACCTTACTAAACTCACAGCTGAAATGTTAGTGCTGACATTCCTGCAAAGAGCACTTTTTTATGCCATTGAAGCAGTAATGATGAAGTATTGCTGTGATTATAGCAGTTAAAACTATAAAATATTCTAGTCAGATTGTAAAAATACTCTTGTCAAAAGTTTACACTGCAGTATTAAACATCAAAATTCTCCTTCCAGGAATGTGAATCTCCTTGAACTAACAACATGAATTCTTTAAACAAAGGAGCCATGTTATAAATACAACAAGTGAAATTACCTCGTACTCTAATCTAAATACAACTGAGGTCAATAATGATCAAATAGTCAAGGCTGGAGGTCAGCTAGAGTGAAGGTGTGGGCCATGGTACATGAATGTATCTGTTGGGACCTTCAGAGGACTTGCACATAATCACGTTATAACTGATGATATATTCAAATCTTTGTGTCATTTCTTTACTCAAAACTGATTAGTTAACAATGTAACTGACATCATCATGTATGTGATTCAAAATTAATAATCTACCAGGTTATCTTATTTGTGTACATAAGTTGTAAATGCTTTTTAATTGGAATTCTTAAAGTGAATCATTAGAAAACTCATGCTGAATACCTTGAGTGATGTATTTGCAGTATATCTTTCAAAATTTGAGGATCTAATTTAGAAGTGTATGGTTTGCCCCCATAAAAGAAAGAGAGCAAAGGATGTATTATACATTCTCCTATAAATTGTTTAACTCTTTCTTACTAACTGTAGCATTTTAAATTGGATCTTTTCATTGTTGGCAAGGCTTATATTTAATTAATACAAGAATAGCAGTAAATAAAAAGCTTCACTAGCGGAGTTTTAGAAGTTTAGTTGGTAATATCAAATTACTGTTATGGCCTTCTCTATACATCTAGGTGCTATGTTTTTTGTTTTTACTATTCAAAACAGTTGTAAATCAAAAACTAAAGCCTAATAGTTAGTACTCAGATTGAATTTGACAGGAAAAAATTATAAAGGTATAATAAATTGAACTTTCTACCTAGTCTTAGTGCTTCAATACAGATATCAATGCTTACAAATTGATAAAACAGTTCATGAAAGTACCTTTACTGTTTTTGAGAATTTTCTTTTCCATAAGAGCAAAGTGTTGAACTGCATATTCTATTTAAAAAGCATGATTTATTAAATAAAAAATTCTAAGGTCAGTATTTTAATTACACCAATGAAGATTGTGATTTTTAATATATCTCTAGCTATCTAAGGTATTTTAAGGTATAAATACCACATTAAATCTGTTTGTTAGAGCCAAATTCACAATCTTGAGCGACACTAATAAAGTTAAGTAAAGTAAAAAAACATACAGAGTAAAATAATTAAAATGTAAAAACATTACATTAGGATAAAGTAGTTAGTGTTTTTCTGAAAGATTGAGATAAAAATGGTCAGAACTTATGATTTACATTTTTTAAGTTTCAACAGGAGAAAAGTTTCTATGATGTAGAAAAATGATTGATGTGTGTGAAGTTATTTTTTTAAACATTCCTTCAGAGGAAGTTTCAATTCCTTCAATGAAGGTTCTTAAATTTTTCATGGGGTGTTATTCTATCATATGACATTAGAATAGAAGGTTCTTATTTCATCACTTAAACATTGCTCAATACTCTTATGAAACCACCTATTCATTAAGAGTTCTGCCTAGAACATTTTCAACTATTCTAAAACTAAAAGAACAAAACATGCATAAGTAAACAAAAGTTGTTCAGATTTCAAAAACCAAGCGAAGACAAGAATATATCCTCATTTATGTTGATCCAACAAGTAACTAATATTTCATGTACATATCTAGTCTTGTGTTAATACTTTATTTAAATGATGAGAAACCCGAAGATGATTACAGATAAAAATGAAAATTGTTGTCTCAATAAACACCTTAGCAGATAACAATGATGTATATCTTTCTTTTTAGAAACATTCCATGGAGGTGAGTTTTAAATAATGCTGAAGAACTTAACATAGCTTCCCAAAAATTTCATAAACTAGAAGTCAGTTAACTAGTTTGACACCAAATAGATATTTATAGAATAGGTTTAAGTAAATACAGTCCTAACTTTCTTTACACCCAAGCAAAAAAGGGTGCTCATTTCCAGCTCAATCAGTCTGTTGTCTTTAATGACAAAGTAAATTACAAAGGTTTTGCTCAGTCTCTTTGAAATACTTGTTAGTTTTATACTAAACCATTTTATAGAGATGTGTATTGCAGCATCCTAAAATAATTACAATGTGTACTGGGAAAAACAGTAACCCTTAATTTATATATATGTGTATATATATATATATATATGCATTACAAAAATACTTTATTTACAATATTTGTAAACCACTGTTAAATACTACCTTTGTACATGAATAACATCTCAACCTTTCAACTGAAAGTTCTGTTAACTGAGTTCACATTTAGGATGGCATTTGTACTGGCACTAAAACCCAGTACCATTGGTAACCACATGTACCTAACTTAATTTTCACTAGAAGATGTTTTGTATTGAAAGTGAATGTATTTGTGCTTACCCTCCTTCAGTTTGATCTGTTTTTTGTTTTTATCAAGTGTATTTAAGGTGTTTATATAATTTTACTTTCTGTTAATTATAATTTTTACTATAATAATACAGCATAACAACTGAGAAATTGCTTTATTAATGACATCAAATCTTACTGGCAACTATAGGTAGTTATCAGAGTACTTGTAAAATAAAAAAAGTATGTCATGCAATGAAATGTGAACAAACAAAATTTCTGCTTTGAGCTTCTTTTTTCCCAATACAAATTTCCACAAATTTGGTTTATTATTACATTTATTACTCCTTATATATTTGCTGATAACTCATTTTTTGATGAAAAAGAAAATCTGTTCTGTGAAAGTATTATCAACATCACTAAAATTGTGTTTCTCAGAATTGTTTGAAGTAATATTCTTACATATTGCTTTTACACAATTGCCTTTCTGTTGAAAATCACATTCCATCAACAAAACATAAAATTTAAAGACAAGGGGCCTATTTGTCCATTTAGGCTGTTCCATTCACTCAACTAAGCTATAATTATACATATATATATATATTTATAAAGCTATTCCTTAAACTCCCTTAAAGTTGGTGCTTCTACCAATGTCTTAAGGAAACCCACTTCAAAGGCCAGCCACCCTGTTAGAAAATTAAAACTGTTTTAGCTGCAGATCACTCCCACCAAGCTAAAATTTATATTTGTGTCCCCTAATTACTACCATTCTCACCATTAAGTATAAGAAAGATGATCCATCAACAATATCAATTCCCTTAACAACCCTACACACTTCAATCTGATTGCCTCTTAACTTTTTTTTCCAAGAGAAAATTATTTCTGAGGTCTTAACATGTCCTTATACGACAACCTTTCTGGTCCAGGTATCATACTAGTAGCCCTTATCTGAACCCTTTCCAACAATTCAGTATTCTTCCTAAGATAAAGAGCTCATTGCTGAATGCACTGCTCCAAATGCTGCCTAATTAGTATCCTATACAATGAAATCATTATATCTTTAGACTTGTATTCAATATTTCTATAGATACAATCTAAAATCCAACAACACATTGCTTGGATGGCTTAAAAGGCTCTCCAACCAAAATGCCAAAATCCCTTTCCTCCATAACACTATTAAGGTTATTCCTATTAAAATTATGCATAAAATTAAGATTACAACAACCCTCATGCATTTATGATAAATAAAAGCCATCTGCCATTTATTTGTCTGACTCACCAAATTATCTAAATCCTTTTGTAAAGCAGCAGCATCCATCTCACAGCCAGCAAAACCCAAAACCTTAACATCATTAGCAAATTTAACACATTTGCAGCCACCAGTAGTGTTAGTAACTCCTACCCTAGGTCCATTCAAGAGGTACTGAGTAGTAGTCTCAGGGTCCCAAATTCTTATACCACAAAAGAAATTTGGCTTTGAAACATAATTGTCTGCAACACACTGGTGTGTCACATGGTCTATAACTAAAAGTTTTTGACTCATCGGTGGGGCACATGGCAGCAAATGTGTTAAATCCAATGAGCCAACTTATCTCCCCCTCACACATATACACACACACACATACACCTATAAAGCAGTTTGAAATTTGCATCATTTCACTGGTTCTGATCAGATACAAAGCCTATGGGTCAATCAGAATAGCACAGAAACAATATACTCAGCCCAACACCAATTACAATTTTAAGCATTTTTCTTACTTTACCTTGTCATCAAATGTGCATTTTATTCTTTTTTTCCTAAAACCATAATTATGTCTCTTGAAAGTACCTTCTATACTTCAATTTCCCAAATGGAGCCTCTAGGTTTATGGGGATCTCTGAAATGAAAAATAGATTCCTGGAATATGTGAATGTAAGAATCGATCCAGATAAAGTGTAATGAATATTAACATCTCAATGAATAAATATCTTACTTTTTGGTCACTGTTAGAATAGCATTGTCATGTCACATTATTATTTTTTGTGTGTTTATCTGGATTAGTATAAAGATTATATACATTTCAAGAGTGATATAATTAAAAAAAAATTTCAGTTAGAGTTTTGTTTAATGTTATCATATATACAGTTGGTAAATTGGAGTGAACAATTAGAATTTTTGTGAAGGACTAGTTAGAAATTTTATGAATTTCAAACCCTACTATAGAGATCAATTTGTTATCAAGCCTAGTTTTATGTAGCACTTTGTCAAATGCTTTCTGAAAATCCAAATCACCAAACCCACACCAATACCAGCATCTGGATAAGCAGTAACCTCTTCAATGAACATCAAAAAATGAGTAAAGCAAGATTTTCTCTAGTGAAGCAATGTTGATTACCCAACAAAATTTTAAACTTTGTTAAATGATTTTGCAAAGCATCTTTTATCAAACTTTCAAAAATCTTCCTCACCACTGATATGAGACAAATAGGCCCATAATTACCAGGAAACTTTTTATCAGCTCCCATGGGATGAAGAGTAACATATCCAACTTCCAACCCTCTGACACTTGCCCACTATTCAAGAACTTAAAAAACAGTAACAAGTGGTTCAGATATCCATTCTTTAACCTCCTTCAAATTCATTAAGGAAATATTATCTGGCCTTATCATTCTCTAAGTTTTCTAGTTTTTCTTAGTGAGCTCAGAATTAATGTGATCTTTTTGTTCAATCCTGTTTCCATGTAACAACTATTCAGGATGAGGAATAAAGCTTAAACTGAAAACAAAAGTACAATTTAATAACCCAGTAATCTCAATAATGAGCCTTCCTTTATCATTTCTCAATGGCCTTTCTCCCATCCTAACATTTTGCTCATCCTTATTGTATTTAAAGAAATCCTTAATGTTATTTTTTAAATTATGAGCTAAATTTTTTCATAAACCCTTTTTGATTTCCTCTTTGACCAACTCTCTTGATCTTCTATATCCTCTAAACCTCCAATCATAGCAGTTAATTTATAATGCTTTTCTGTAATTTTGTCTCTCATATCTTTTGTGAGCCAACCTGCTTTTTACTTACAACTACCATTTTTTTTATAAGGAATATGTTTATCTTGAATATTTAAAGTTTTTAAAATTTTTCCCCATTTTATCAGTGTCTCCAACTAATTCAGTTGCCCAATTTAAAACAGATAATTCTTAACACATCTATTCAGAGCTTACTTTTCTGAAATTGCTTACAAAATTTACAGCTGAGTTAATAGCCCTTACAGAAAATCAGCCCCTACCATACTTAAATGCAAACCATTCCTGAAAGCTTACTTTCCCATTGAACTAATTTCACACATCCAATCAATCTGTCCATCCTTATATACAAACCTAAACTTAGTAGTTCTAATTACCTACTTATAATTTCATCCCTGCAATTGATATAATTAAATTATGGCTCTTTTCTTTAAATGCCTTGAATACCAACTGCTGTTTAAAAAGGTTTTATTCTGAAAAAAATAAAACATTTTATTATAAACGGAAAACATAACTTAAGGAGAACTTATTTAATCAAAGAGTCAATCATATGACGAAACTTGAAATGCTTACTGATTATTTAATTCACCAACCGGAAGTAACATTACAATACATTGTAGAACTGTTATATCAATAAGTGTTATAAAGTACAAATAGTTACAGTTTTAAAGTCTTGTAATACGTATTGGTTAACCAAGTTTCATTGCACTGTAGGCTGTTGGAAGGTAGCAAAACCATGAAAAACCAAAATTTAATATTGGGTAAAATGAACAGTGTATTTTGAATATGTTTCTCTTCATCTTTTTTTTTTTTTTTTCCTAATATTCTGTTGGCTTGACCTGGGGCTTTTACATTTGAATTTAATATCCAAAAATTTCTTCTGTTACTAAACATATAAGAAAAATTGCATTTATGGTAATCATAATATTAAATTCATTACCTTATTTATGAAAGAACATTAAGTAAATTATATAAAGCCATGTATTTCAAGAAACTAATTAAAGTTTACAAGCTTGTATTGAAATACTTATAAGTATTTTCTTTTTATTCTGGTTTTAGAACATGACTTTATGATTGTGTAAACTCCTTATCAGTAACTTGAAGTACATATCTTTGTAATCTTATCCTATACTACGCTTATGATACCATAATATCGTTACGCCTCCAGTCGTTACTTAATTTTCCGTAAATTCGTTCCGACGAAACTTAAGCGACATAAGTCCTTTCTTAAATAAAACTGGTTTATTCTTTCTGAGTATAACTTTGCGATACCCTTAATTTCAACAGTCGCGCTATAACAACGAACTTCTCACGTGCTCAACTTCAATAACACTCAGTTCAATTACACACTCTCTGACTGCAGTTCAATTACTCACTACCTACACATTGTCCCGTCACGTTGTGACCATCTTATATATACCAGCCTACCCCAATCTAGTAAATGCTAGGGCATTCACGAAGGAACAGGATATTTCTAGACAACGTGGCGTGACACCAGTCA